ACGGCGAGACGACAAATACACGTTCACACCTGCCGCTCCTGAGGTTGTAAATGACCCCGGGAGCGCAACCCGGTGCACGTGGATGTCATGCTCCACGTGTATTCGTCAAAAATTCACGGCGAGGCGACAAATACACGCCCACACCTGCCGCTCCTGACGTTGTAAAGGACCAAGGTGTAGCGTGAGGCGGTCCACCTGGATGTCATGCTCCACGTGTATTCGTCATAAATTCACGGCAAACAAACACACAAAACAAACAAAACGAAACGTCAGCCGCCAGAGAATAACAAATCTCGATTCTTCTCGGAAAAAGACTCCATTGAGCGAAAATGTCAAAACAGCGATGAAAGCAGAACAGATAACCGAAACGCCCGTATCCCCTCTAAAAATAATAAATAATTAAAATAACTGAGCAATGCATACATATATAACTTTTGGAGGGTGATACGTGCGGAAGTCTTCACCAGTACGTATACCAGGATCAAATATTCAAGAAAACACGAAAAAGCTCAGCGCCATCGATTTGTGTCTTGAGACAGGGTTCCCACCCTGATTCACTGTCGCGTTGATTGAATACAGGAAGTCCAGAGAGAGTTCTTCCAATACAACTGGGAACACACGGGTGATTTAACATTCAAAGGATGTCGTTGCTTCCTGGTAAGTCTGTGCATGTGTCGTGGCTAAATGACTACACAAGTCTAACACTAAGGAGACTTCAACTACATAATTTTTTTATTTAGTGATTTTAGTGTACGCTGGGGACCACTTGTACGCCCGTAATTAATATGAAAAAAGTAGTTTAATATGTATATTGGGTACAGTGACATAAACGTAGGTAATCGACCATTTTCCATTTAGTTTGTTTATATTTCACAAAACGTCTGTGAAGAAAGGGTATATGCAGAGTAATGTCCCTTTGGAGCATCACAATCCTATGATCCTTGATTCGGATGGAACTGGTACTCGCACCCACGAGCATTGGTTTCAGACACGTAAGGGGATGTAACTCTGTACTGTTAATTGCTCCGGTTCAGGCGAATGGGCCACACTGTGGTTTGAGCGAGTGTATCTTTGTACTGGAGCGTCGCAGTCTTCCCTTTTGGAGACCGCCTCCGTGGTCTTGTGGTACAGCGTCCGCCCGGACAGCGGAAGGTCCGGGGTTCGATCCCCAGCCGTGTCGAACCAAAAGACGTTTAAAGAGGTACTTGTTGTTACCCTGTCTGGCGCTCGGCATTAAGGGGCTAACACAAGGACTGGTCGGCTCGGAGTCAGTATACTGTCGCTGAGTGAGGTATTCATGTTAAACTGCGGCATGGTATCTGAGTTGGCTAGCACTATAAATCGGCATCATTCCGGACTAGTACAAGCAGCCACACACACGGGCACGCACGTCGCAATATATGTGCAATAATCTTGGACGCCACGTTAAACCCCCTTTCACCTCACCTCCTGTTGGACATATAAAACATCCTTTCGTTTCATTCCAGTGTCCATAAAATTGCTGGATGGTTTATTAGTCCGTAAGACCATAAGTCAATAAGTAAAACGTCCATAAATGCGTAAGTCCGTTAATCCATGTCTCTAAGACCCTCAGTCCAAACTATAGTTTCCAAGTTCCTTAGTCCATAAGTCCATAAATCATCAAATCCGATTGTCCATAAACCCGTTCGTCTCATAGTTCAAGTCTTTCTTTGTAACCCATTGTTTTTATTATATCCTGAGACGCTGGGTAAACATACTGATGATATCCATTGAACACCATGTTTGAGCTAATAACGGATATTCTTGACATCGAGACCACATCATCAACGCTGAATAGATAAGCCTAATTCAACATTATGAATGACAGAAGGCTCGTGTAGCACTTTGATATTTTAATTACACTTTACGCAACGTGATTATTAGTATAAATGTTAGGGCCCACCTGGTTACTTCTGACAACACTTCTCCAAATACAACGCAACGCGGTAACATTAAATGTGATTTAGCAGATTAACTGGAAAGGCTGTCGGAGGGGACAGACGGCTGGCGCGGAGTGTTCTGAGATCTAGTTTTGTTATCGGGTGGTGTTTAGTGCTCTCGAGAAGCGTGTAACTGTTGGCGCCTTATCAGAAGCTAATAATAACAGGATAGGACATCAATTTAGCCTGTCCAAACAACCACTGACCAAACTAAAAGCTCTAGCTCTTTATAAAGAGGTCACAGGGTGACACTGAAAGAAGATTATTATTTTCTGCCAAGGATGTTTATGGAGAACTGTGAGCTATAACAGGGGACAAAAGCTATATTTGTATCATGAATGATTGTAAGTCTTTGGCGGAAATACAAGCGGAGAAAATAGAGATGTTGTTGTACGCCGCAGCGATGCATCAGCCGTATCATGGAAGCGTGTGATTAGCCTTGCCTGGGCTAGAGTGAGTGAGTGAGCGGAGTTTCATGCCGCTTTGAACAGTATTTCAGTTATATCACGGCGTGTCAGTTTGATGTGGGAGGAAAGCTTGAAGTGATGCAGGTCTTAGTCGTTTACCACTTTGGTGAATCCACGAGAGGCGTTGGAGTAGCCTTGTGGTTAACGCGTTCGCTCGCCTCGCCGTTACAAGGTAAAGCCCATTTGTGGTGTCCCCCGCCGTGATATTGCTAGAATATTGCTAAAAGCCGCGTAAAACCATACTCACTCACTCACTCAATAGACGTCCATAAACTAATAGGTTTTATGGCAAACCGGGTTTCGGTCTTGACTAGCAAACACCTTAACGCCCAGTCTACCTCGTTATCTACACTGTGAGTGAGTGAGTGAGTTGGGTTTAACGCCGCTTTGAACAGTATTCCAGTTATATCACGGCGTGTCAGCTTAATGTGGGAGTAAAGCCCGAACTGATGCAGGTCTTAGACGTTTACCACTCCGGTGAAACCCTAGAGCACGGGTATGGTGCTGACAAACCTAGAAACATAATTGGGGCAAACCGGGATTCGAACCCACAATCATAGGTTTCTGGCGTGTCCAAGGGACGCAACTCTGCACAGCGAATCGCGGCGCCTTAGACGACTGGGCCACCCGTCCCCTCCCCCCCTACAATGTGAATTGACGAAAGAGTACCAAGAGAAGCCTTTTCAACTGCTGCATCTATTACATAAAAGGTACTATGTACACATCAGCAAAACGAATAATATACACTGACGATGCAAAAACATTTTGCAATTTAAAGTTTGCATATTTCATAAGCATTAAGAATAGATAATTTACATGATTGTTATTTCTAGCCCAATAATATGTGAAAAAGGTTAATGGGTGCAGTGTGTGAAAGCCTTTTCCGGTAGATTCAATCAATTTGCAAATGAGTTATTAGCTTATACATGTACGATGACATTGACGGGATTCATGCTCATTACATAGTCGGAATCGTACCATCGACTCTGTTAAAGCGCGAATTTCTTATGAAAGGGTCCTGTCGTTTTTATGTAATTGGAAAATGAGTGTAAGTAAATAGCTTGGATATAGCATCATTTGACCAAGGCAGGGGATATCGCAGGAGAAAGATGAAACGTGACAATACTGTTTTTGTGAAAGTTCATTACAATTATTAAAACTGCTTACGGCGATATTTGAAATCAGCTGATACAAAGATATGGCCTCCTTTTCAATTAATGAAAAAACGCAATTGAAATAAATCATTGCAAGGAAACAGAAATGCCATCTTATTGATCAGTCATCTAAAAAAACACAAACGATCAAGTTCTTCCCAGTATCTGTAATGAGATTAAGTACTTAAGTATTCATGAAGATTTTAATATGTACTCTTAAAGAATCAAATTAAAGATCTTAATTCCATATTTTTCAAGCTTGTTTTTTTCACAGGATGTATGATTGAAGATCTGATAATGACTTCCAGTACTGTGTGAAAGACGAGAATGAATCCATTAAAACATAATTCAAACACGATATTCAAGTAGAATGCATGGTGGTGCAATATGAATTATATTACTTTAGAGATTGAATGCACTTTGGCATTGATTCTTTAATTTGAATTGATATAGGGAGAAAATTGTAAGTTTGTTTTAAGTTACAGAACAGGCACCTTTTTCTCATGTCATTTAAAACAGATTTTGAGAACATATGTTGCCAAGAAGGAAAAATAAACATGGTCAATATTACCAAATGCAAATATACATGATTTACTGATTAAGTCCATGAACTGACTGAATATAGGATTATGCCCGAACATAATACAGAGCCAAGTGTTCATGTTGGTGTGAGACGTTAATCGATATTTCTTCTTGGCAGTAGAATGGTAATGATTATGAAGATGATAATATGAGGTGAGATATATGACAATATATGGTATATTATTATGATGATGATGATACTTTGTTTCATTTATACTATATCTACTCGTGGTATGTGTTTCGAGTATTCGCTCTCTAATAATCTAAAATGATAATTCCCCAAGGCTGACTATGCATACCAGATCTCATGTAAAAAATATGCATAAATATGTCACGCATATATGTATTCATACATTCCAGAAATAAAAAAAAACGTCTTTGATGTTAAGTGTCATTTTCTGATTGGATAAATAAATAAAAGGGCACATGAGGGGATTTAGTAATTTACATATAAACTTTGATTTTCATATCTGTTATCCCATCGTATATGTCACAATAAATTCACACATTCAAATATTACGATTTAATAATACTGACATAACGAACGAGCTGCCATATATTTTCTAAACGCGAGACGTTGCTCCAATATATAAACAGTTACAATTACGTTTTACAAATTGAAAAATTCTCGTACCGGCGATGTCTGAAGCATCATCACCAAACAAACACGACACTGATATCTTTATAAGGGAGACTCCCTGCAGCCTAAAAGAACGACATCCAAAAGCACTTCCCAACGAAGGAACAAACTCAGTTATAGGTAGTTCCACGGAAAGAAAATCCTGACAATGAAATATGAAGATCAACATCAAAAGAACAAATTCAGTGGTACTCACCAATTTTAACTGCCGACGGACTATGTGTTGTGAAAGATGGCTCTCCGCCCCGTCAATCAAGTCTTTAAAGACCGACCCTGTTCCCTCTGTCGTTTTATAGCGAATGTGGGGGAAGATGTCCCTACCCACTGCCAGAGTATGACGGCTCTTCAACGTCAACCTGAAGTCAGCAATGCCAATCGATCAATACTACCATCGGCCCACCTGAAGATGCTTATTAATATTAAACTATTTATACAAAGGATTGCTTTAATTGTTTTCTGAAGGCTCGTTAATATAGCTGAAAGGTGTTGGTTTTCGTCATCTGCAATATTAACCCATTGGGAAAACTTTCTAATCGAGGCATGACAGTTTCTTCCGGGGGGTCAATTGTGCCAGATGGCACCGTAAACTGGTTCAACTAAGCGGATTAGGAGTGCGAAAGGCACTGAGTTCGTGTCACCAGGGAAAGGTGTTTTGTTGTGATGTATCGTGTTTACCTCATTGCCAGACTTCTAGCATAGTGTCCACACACTCTCATACCGTCCACTCACTTCAAACATTCGTATACGTCAGCTATTGCGTGAAGAAATGACGTTTTCTCTCTGATAGTAACACAAATTCGTTTAATTGGCTGCGGAGGATTGCAGTCAAAGGTTGTACGAGATGGTTAGATGAAGGGACATTTTTCGAATCTGAAGCATATCCTGTAAAAATTTGCTTCGTGCGATGATATGTTCTTAGTTTTACATTCAATGAGTGAACTTTTGAACTTTCGAAATTATATGTCAATTAAGTCTTAGTCTAAGTCTAAGGTACTAGTTTAGGTCTCACACATAAGGTTGACACATTATAGACGTGAAACACTTCCAGACCTTAGCGTTCTTAAACAATGCGTTTTGAGGTAAGCTTGTATGGATGTGTGTGTCTGTGTTTCCTGAAAAGACATAATCTAGGCACAATGATAAACCATAATAATAAACTGAATGGCATCTATAAATATTTTTATGACGTCGACGTCCATTGTACAGCGATCTTGCCCTTCAAGCACTACGGATGAAAACCCAGTGAAGATTCGATTGATGTTTCAGTTTTCCTGGTGTCGCAAATGTAATATTGAAATATAATATTCATTTCTTATTAATTGCCGCTCCCACGATACATATTTTCCGGCTGCAAAGATAATATATAAACCCTACAGGATCGACTTTTTTTTAACGAACTCAATCGGGATTCATTATTGTGTTTATTATTTTGATTACAATATATCTCATCTGTTCATTTTCTGTTATTATATACCGCCGTGATATTGCTGGTATATTGCTTAAAGCGGCGTAAAACTTCACTCACTGTTTTTATATTCCACCACGCTCTATGGATTTGATCATGCCTTATGTCCGATGCAATTCCCTATTTAAACTTGTACCATAAGTTCCCGTGCTTTTTCAATTGACTTGCTTCAGCGTGTGTTTGGGACGGATGCCACAGGAGGGGCAGGATACGCTGACCTTTTTGCAAACAACTGGTATCATCACCACTTGAAATTGACGGAATTCATAAACACATGCTCGTGATATAGTCGGAATCGTAGAATCGACTCTGCTTTTGGCAGATATTGCTTATTAATATGGAAACGGGTTCGTCGCGTTTATTATTATTATGATGATGCAAATACAACATAGGAACATAACCAAGGTCGGTAGGCCCTGACGTACTTGTCAAAGGCTCAGAGAAAACCTGTGCAGGGTTGCCTCGCTTACTGCTACCAGGATCTACTGGTCATGGGTTCGAATCCTAGATCTGTCTCCATGATGGACTTGGGTTTGTCAGCACAAAACTCTAGTGTACTGTATTCACCAAAGTGGTAAGCTACGAAATAGTCACATTTAACTCCCCCGCCTCCCCCCTAGTATTGTAATGTTTGTTTGTTTATTGTCTAAAACCGCACTCAGCAATATGTCAGCCAGCTATGACGGCAGTCTGTGGACAATCGAGTCTGGATCAGACAATGCAGTGACAGACATGAGAATTACTCTTTGCAATTGGGTTACGTTGAAGTTCATGAAGAAAGTCTTACGACAAGAGTGGGTTGCTGAAGACCAATTCTCACTCGCATCTTCGAATTCACAGGGGCCGTAATATGATTTAAACCGACATTAAAACCTTCCTCTGTATTTTGGTGTTTTTTAACTTTTACCAATTCTAAAGTCTGGACTATTTCATTAAGTAAAATGACAATTCAAACTCAAAACTATGGACGCAAAAGTCTATACACGCTTTTGATGAATTGCTTCAATAATTCATGACAATACAGAAACTTCGTGATTATAATGATATGATGACGTTTTAAAACCGACGATATCGCGAAATGTTATGCTCGGAAGTTATAAGAATGGTATGTGTTTCTAAAGAACTTGTTGTGCGCTGGACATGTTATTCTATATTTCTCCTGTCACGACCTGGAAATGGCCAATGTATGGTCACAATATAACCCCTTTAACATACGATGCTGAAGACCAGTTTTAACCCGGATCTTCACGGGAATTGTTTAATATATGTGAATTTAGATGCTGGCCGGAGCGTTAATCCTCATTTTGGACAGTTTTATTAAGGTAACTACAGAAAACCCCACTCAAACCCAAATCAAGCGAACACTCTCAAAGCATGATGACATCTGACATCTGGATAACGGTTCTTCTTTGCTTGATATTTGTGTCCATGAACTACCGTTGTCCCTGAATTTTGCCCAGAATAATTATTGATTTGTCAGCAAAATATGAAACGTGGCTAACCTGGATCACCCAAGGCTTTCCTCCCATATCAATCTGTCAAATCGTGATGTCTGCGAACAATGTGTAAAGCGGCGTTAATACATCTCACTCTTTGCGATAGTATACATCAAAACAATTTACCTTCAAATTAATTAAAACTAAATATTGACTAAAGTTCGTACAAACTGTGAAGCTAAAATGTCAAGGAAAAGGTCTGATTTAATTGTCTCGTGATCATGAAACTTGGAAATTGTCTTGATTCAATCTCGTTTCTCGCAGACGACGGTTGGTTAATGATTGATCCCAATTTGTTTCGTCTGGTATGAAGCAGTGTTCAGTGGTCAAGACAGGACGATTTGATTTGGCAAACAGCACATTTTCGTAGCTGACGACCCAAACGATTTCATGGTGTACAAAAAGACACAAGATATGAAGGTTACTATCCTCTATTTAACAGGTATTATATATACATATATATATATATATTATTTTGTGTCAAATACACTGGACACATTCGCAATAGAGGCTTCATTGAAAATGTAACGACTCCCTCTCCTGTCTTACCAGTAACTTCGCACAGATATTCTCTCGCCCCTGAAGGCAATTTGATTGGGCGGATTGGACGTACTCGGAAGAGATGGGGAGGGGAGCTGTTATTTTATTAAATGGATCCAAAACCTAAAACGAAAATTAATTCTCCCATAAAATTTCCCCAATTCTCCCCAGAAAGGTATTTCCTTGGATTGTTTAAAAGCACGGACCAAGCCCAGGTGAACATATGTAATATCACCGTAGTGTAAAGAAGTGAGGGGAGGTGAGGTTTAACGTCGCGTCCAAGATTATTGCACTTATATAGCGACGTGCATGCACGTGTTTGTGTGTGTGGCTGCTTGTAGTCAGTCAGGACTGATGCCGATTTATAGTGCTCGCTCACTGAGATACCATGCAGTTTAACATTAATACCCCACTCAGACACAGCATTCTGACTCCGAGCCGACCAGTCTTTGTTTTAGCCCCTTGATGCCGAGCGCCAGACAGGGTAACAACAAGTACCATCTCTTAACGTCTTTTGGAAAAACACGGCCGGAGATCGAACCCCGGACCTTGCGCTCTCCGGGCGGACGCTCTACCATTAGACCACGGAGGCGGTCCAGTGTAAAGAAGCAGTGTATGTACATTGCTGTGGCATTTCCCATGACACCATCGGACCATAACAATGAAGCATGTTGCTATGGGTCACAAACTTAATGATCTATTAATACAATTGACAATGATATAATTCCCACCTCGTTCACGATATCGCATGCTGATTTGAGGGCGTTGGAATTCGTGCAAAGTTGCGTCCCTTAGGCGTGTCAGAAAACTATGATCGTGGTTGCCAAGCCCAGAATCGGCCTGATTGTGTTCCTGGCTTCTAATTGGGTTTTCTCACACATTGAGCTGAAAAACCGTGGTATAATAGAAAACGTCAAGGCCGGAGATTATCTGCCGAAACAGATTCCATTAGGCGTATAAGACAAAACATGTGAAAACAATAGGAAAGGATCGCTGAAAATCAGTGATGAAACCAGATGTTCGCGCAAAGCTATATGCTGTACAATGTGGCGTTAAACCCGCTCCGTCGCATGACAAATTATTTCATGTTTCGTGTGTCCTGTAATACCATCTCTAGACAGACATTCATACTCCATGGGAGGGGCATTCACAGAGGCATTCAGATAAGCAAAGTTTGCCAATCCCTTAACTTTATGGAAATAATCATGTTTATATCATACTTCATAAGGGTCTTCAGGGTGTTAGAGTTGTGTCCCTTACCCATGCAAGGATATGCTGGCCCAGACTAGGATAGTGTTTTTCAGGCTATCGGCATAATGTACTCTTTGATTTGGACAAAAATATAAGCGTAAACTACTTGACACGTGCATAGTTACGCCTTAGCTTGTACAACAAATCTATGCTCGTGGATTCCCGGATAATTTATGATGATGATGATGATTCTTTTGTCAGCATCATAGCCGTGCTCGTGTGCTTCATCCTTTTGTACTTTACTCCAACATTAAGCAGACACGCAGTGGTACTTTGAAATTCTGTACAAGCGGCATAGAACTCAGCTACTGAAGTACGATAAGGTACAATATCCTTCAGCTCGCGTAACGGAAATATGCCCAAAATGACGACTACGTTGGCAAGAGTCCTTCTTTGATATGAGGGGTATAAGAAAGAACGCCGTGTTGTGAAGTCATCGATCACGCCAGCAACATCGCCTGTTTTACATGATGGCAAGGAGCTGGAAGAACTGTACAAAGCTCGTGTTGATTACTGATAATGGTCGACAGAAAAAGTGTACTGTTTTTGATAGAGAGCACCGTAAACAGGGGAATGGTTTATTGACAAGAAGGAGATACACTTG